CGATTAATATTATCAACTTAACACTATACTATAATCTATAAGTTTACTTAAATGACTTAGCTGTTAGTTATACTATTATCCTATTACGATTTAACGTAATGCCTTATAACTCAGTTAAAACTTATTCTTAAACTACCAAACTTTACTATAATTCATATGAGTTTCATATGTCTAAACTTTAATTTTTATATAATCTAATGATTGACCTTTAATACTATGCTATATCCTATTAAGCTAATACCTCATCATTAATTCTTTCATAAATCGTATAGTAACTATTACACTTGAATAATGTAGCAAAAGGAACCAAAACAGCAAGCGTAAATTTACGCAACTATGAGTGTATATGTATATATTTTATCCTAACAAGTCTACTCTAAAAATCAAATAGTAGCTGTCACACTCTTGAACAAGGAAATGGCATGGCCGCCATGATGGCTGTGGGCTGAAGCAGACAGAGTTTCGGTAATTAACGAAACAAAAGAAAACGTTCTGCCTGGCTAGGGGCAGGGTGACAAAACTATCATGGTAATTTAGTTTCTAATCTTAGCCCTAGGGGAAACAGCTTTCGGAACAAGAGCTGACTAACCAGTCTACCAGGAAATAGAAGTTTAAAAATATCTAGAAAGAAGTAAAACTTAGAAAGACAGAGAGAAATAATTCTGCTATGCACTTTCCATCAGGTGTATTGAGATTTACTTATAAGTTTTACTGCCATGTATGCACACTGGTCACTAATCACACGCCAATATTATAGGTATAACTGACAGCCTATGTCAGAGGCGATCTTCCAGATGGGCCTTTACAGGCCTCAGCCATGTAGCTATAGATGTTGGCTCCCAACAGAAGACTCTACCTATCTTCAACTTATGAAGACTGAGAGAGATGAGGAAGCTTTAGAAGAAAAGTTGGACGCTAGCAGAGGCTGTTTCAGGAGATTTAAGGAAAGGAGTCATCCTCATAACATAAAAGTGTAAGGTGAAGCAGTGTTGATGTCGAAGCTGTAGCTAGTTATCTAGAAGATCTAGCTATGATGATTAATGAAAGTGGCTACATTATACAACACATTTTCAGTTGTTTCAACAGTGTAGACAAAACTGACTTCTATTAGAAGAAGATGCCATCTTGGACTTTCATAACTAGAGGAAAAGTCAATGCCTGGCTTTACAGCTTCAAAGAACAGACTGACTTTCTTGTTAGTGGCTAATTCAACTGGTGACTTTAAGGTAAAGTCAATAGTCATTTACCATTCCAAAAATCCTAGGGCCCTTGGGAACTATTCAAATATGGTCTGCCTGTGCTCTATAAATGGAACAACAAAACCTGGATGACAGAACATCTGTTGACAGCATGGTTTACTGAATATTTTAAGCCCACTGTTGAGATCTAATGGTCAGGGGGAAAAAAATATTTTCTTTCAAAACATTACTGCTCATTGACAAAACATAGCTGCTCATTGTCACCCAGGAGCTCTGATGGAGATGTACAAGATTAATTTTTTTTTTTTTACTGCTAACATACATTCATTGTGTCGTCTGTGGGTTAAAGAGTACTTTTGACTTTCAAGTCTTATTTAAGCTACACATTTTGTAGGGCTATTGATGCCACAGATAGTGATTCCTCTGTTGGATTTGGGCAAAGTACTTTGAAAATCTTCTGGAAAGAATTCGCCATTCTAGATGCCATTAAAACTATTCATAATGTGTGAGAGGCCGTCAGAATGTCAACATGAACAGGAGGAGTTTGGAAAAAGTTGATTCCAACCTTCTTGAAGGACTTTGCGGGTGTCAAGACTTCAGGAGAAGTAACTGCAGATGTGGAAGAAATAGGAGAACTAGAATTAGAGGTGGAGACCAAGGACGTGACTAAATTGCTTCACCTTCACGATAAAACTTGAGTGGAGGAGGCGCTGCTTCTCATGGGCGAGCAAGCAAGTGGTTTCTTGAATCTGCTCCTGACAAAGATGCTGTGAACATCACTGACATGGCAACAAGTAGTTGTAGAACATTATTACATAAACTTCGCCGATAAAGCGGCATTAGGGTTTGAAAGGACTGACTCTAAATTTCGAAAGCAGTTCGAGTGCGGGGAAAAGGCTATCCAACCGCATCGCATGCTACAGAGAAACCTTTCATGAAAGGAAGAAGCAATGGATGCAGCAAACCTCCTTGCCGTCGTATGTTAAGAAATTGCCACCGACACCGCAACCTTCTGCAACCAACATCCTGCGCAGTCACCCGCCATCCATTTCGAGGCGAGGCCCTCCGCCAGCAAAAATATGACGACTCAGGGACGGAAGAGAGGACCGTGTGCATTTTTTTTTTTTTTTGGGGCAATAAATTATTTTTTAAAATTCAAGTGCATGCATTTTTTGGTTGTTTATTTTTTTTGGACATCATGCGTTTGCACGCTTAATAGACGGGAGTTCAGTGTCAGCGGAACTTTTTTTTTTTTTTG